GAGTTGGAGGTCTTCTAGTGCAGCCCCCTGCTCAGGCAGGAAATCCTATACCATTTCATACAAATGGTAGTCCACACCTGTTTCAGATGCTACAATCCTAGGGAACTGACAAAAGAACTAGAGAGATAAAGACTACCCCAAAATCACCCCGGACCACGTCTCAACAACAACAGCTAGCCAGCCAGCCAAACAACCCAAAACCAGACCATGATTCAGAGGCAACCAAACGAACAAACATGAAGGACCGTGGCCCAGCAACAACCAACAGCCAATCAGACAGCCTGAAACCAGACATGATGAGTAGATGTCAATTTCCAGAATTCCCCAGCCATTCAATTCCAGGAATTGAAATCCACCCATCTTGAAGTGGTGGCGTTTGAGAAACCATGGAATAATCTACAGTCTTGAACAAATCCTGTCTGGTTTTCTTGAGCTCAGACCAGCTTACTGGCTGATCTCAAGAAATCCAGGCAGAATTTGTTTGGTTTTCTTGAGATCAACAAGAAGTCACCCTCGGAATCTTCCTTTGCAGAAACCATGTCTGACTGGCAAACCATCACACCAATATTAACTTGGTTACCGTGAACATTGCCAGAGATTTTATCCCTAAACTTGTTTAGCAAGTCCTTTAACCTTCTGATAACCAGCCTGTTACTCACTGTACCGTGTGGGAGCTATGATCAAGATGCATATGAATGACTCATGCAATCCAACCATCTTCCCACCCCTCTCTGACACACACCCACACCCACACTGGAGATTGTAGTTTCCCAGATAAACCCCCCCTGACATGCCAAAACTCTCTTTTGCCCAGAAAGGCATCTCTATTACTTAAAGCTTTTCAAGTAATCAGGGTATTAACCAGTAGGCTTTTGAGGCTGGTTGGGAAATCAACTTGCAAGGCTTAGGACAGATTTTCCAGACAACGTTCAAGGAACGTTAACACCAGAACTGATCAGCAAATCAATCCTGCAAAAACAGCTGAGTCAAACAAAAACAGCAGAACGTACAACCCGTGGAAATATTTCTGAAGGTCAGAAAAGGTGAGGATTAATCGCGAGCCGTGTCTTTGGTTTCGCAAATTTGGGAGAAGGCACTTCCTCTGGATCTGTTGAGCGGATCCACTGTTTTTCCCCCCCACTTCTCAAAATCCATGCTAACCACTCCCCAGAAGTTAGTATTTCCTAATTCTTCCATAAACAGGCAGAGCCCATTTGCTTCAACTCCAGAGAGGTCTGGAATCTGGACTTGACGGCTTGCCATCTACGACGACGAAATTGCGAGCCACTGAACTGTATCACCGGAAAACAGATCTGTGGTGAAGAAAAACCTCGGATGAAGGTAGGATGGTATTTATTGTTAGAAACAAACTAAGCGAAGCTTTTTTTTAGAGGTGATTTGAACATGGTTTTTTTTTTTTCCTGGCTTGAAAATATCTTTGGAACAGAAGAGAAAGGCATTCAAGCCGCTGAGAAGCTTATGTTTTCAGCGACTGACTTTCGTAGTGAGTTTCCCTACAATCATTGTTTCTAAAAGGTGCTGATTTGGGAGGAAAGTTGCGGAAAAGAGATTAAGAAAAAGGGCAGATCCGATATTCTTCTATTTCCCATCCGTATTTAAGAGTTTGGGTTGATCGTGACGATTAGAACTTTGGTTTTGGAGAGAAACTGTAATGCTTAGTAAGCCGGTGAAGTTCAGAAGGCTGATCTGCAAATGAAATCATTCATATTTTATAGAATATAATAGAATAGAATAGAACAGAATAGAATAGAATTCTATTCTATTCTTCATTATTCTATTCTATTCTTCTCTATTCTATTCTTCTCTATTCTACTCTATTCTATTCTATTCTTCTCTATTCTTTTCTGCTCTATTCTATTCTAAATTATTCTATTCTTCATTATTCTATTCTATTCTTCTCTATTCTATTCTTCTCTATTCTACTCTATTCTATTCTATTCTTTTCTATTCTTTTCTGCTCTATTCTATTCTAAATTATTCTATTCTTCATTATTCTATTCTATTCTTCTCTATTCTATTCTTCTCTATTCTACTCTATTCTATTCTATTCTTCTCTATTCTAAATTATTCTATTCTTCATTATTCTATTCTGTTCTTCTCTATTCTATTCTTCTCTATTCTACTCTATTCTATTCTATTCTTCTCTATTCTTTTCTGCTCTATTCTATTCTAAATTATTCTATTCTTAATTATTCTATTCTATTCTTCTCTATTCTATTCTTCTCTATTCTATTCTACTCTATTCTTTTCTGCTCTATTCTATTCTAAATTATTCTATTCTTAACTATTCTATTCTATTCTATTCTATTCTATTCTATTCTATTCTATTCTATTCTATTCTATTCTATTCTATTCTATTCTATGATTAGGGGACTGGAGGTTAAAGCATATAAGGAACAGCTGCTGGAATTGGGTATGTCTAGTTTAATGAAGAGAAGGACGAGGGGGGACATGATTGCAGTGTTCCAATATCTCAGGGGCTGCCCCAAAGAAGAGGGAGTCAAGCTATTCTCCAAGGTGCCTGAAGGCAGGACAAGAAGCAACAGGTGAAAACTAATCAAGGAGAGAAGCAACCTAGAAGTAAGGAGAAACTTCCTGACAGTGAGAACAATTAACCAGTGGAACAACCTGCCTCCAGAAGCTGTGAATGCTCCAACACTGGAAATTTTAAAGAAGAGACTGGACAGCCATTTGTCCAAAATGGTATAGGGTTTCCTGCCTGAGCAGGGGGTTGGACTAGATGACCTCCAAGGTCCCTTCCAACTTTACTACTACTACTATTATTATTATTATTATTATTATTATTATTATTATTATTATTATTATTATTATTATTATTATTATTATTATTACTATGGATCATCGCACAGTCAGCCAGATGTTCAGACTGGATTTGGCATTTTGTCTACTATCGAGTCCTTACCAAGGACCTGGGATAGGCAGATGTGGATGATTGATGGTATTACAGATATCGTCGCAGGATGGAAGCAGTTCCTAGTAGGGCCGCCTTTTGCAATTGACTAATAGCGAATTTGTCAATGCCAATGGTGTTCAAGTGGTGCTCCAGTTGTTTTGGGATTGCACCCAAGGTACCTATGACTATTGGTACTACCCTTGCTTGCCTTTGGCACAGTCTTTCTATTTCTATTTGTAGGCCTTTGTATTTTGTTATCTTCTCCAGTTCTTTCTCGTCTATTCTGCTGTCTATTATTATTATTATTATTATTATTATTATTATTATTATTATTATTATTAATCTATTCCTCTTTTCTTCTATCCTATCCTATCCTATCCTGTCCTAAATGCTCAAGATTACTATTAAACAGTGACTCCTGTGTCATTCCTTTTTGCTCTGCTAGCCCACCGCTTCTCTCTAATCCCTCCAGGGTCTGACTTGGTCCAACATGCTGCTTCTGCTGCTGCTCACTCCCAGCTTGGTCCTTTGTGACACTAACACCACCGTGGTATGGGAAGACGCGCCGTCTACCGTCAGCCCCCTTGTAGACATGCAGAAGAAAATTAACGATCTGTGGCTGAGTTTGCTGTACCCCCAGCTATACGAGGACATCATCAAAGCCAACCGGACCGCCTACGCTTGCTGCGCAGTCAAGCCCAGTAGCAAATTAGAGGCGGAGAAACCTCAGGTGAAGGGTTCGGTTTTGTTCAAGCAGGGCTACCCCCATGGAAAGCTGGAGGTCATCATCTACCTGGCCGGCTTTCCCATGAACACATCGGCCAGGGCCATTCACGTCCACCAGTACGGTGACCTCAGCGACGGCTGCGATTCGGTCGGAGGTCACTACAACCCTTGGAAAGTCAACCACCCTCACCATCCTGGGGATTTTGGGAACTTTGAGCCTCAAGAGGGCAAGGTTCAAAGATTCAAATCGAACCTCAAAGCCACCCTCTTTGGACCCCAGACCATTCTAGGAAGATCGGTTGTGATCCACGAGCAGAAAGATGACCTGGGAAAGGGCGGCAACAAAGGCAGCCTGGAGCACGGGAACGCTGGCCTGCGTCTAGCGTGTTGCGTCATCGGCACCTGTAAGGAGAACCTGTGGGAGCAGCATTTGCCTAAAGTCCCCACCAAAAGGAAGAGAAGGGTTATAAAATTGGGGGTCCCTTGAGCGTGGCTGGCATCCCGAAGGCCGATCCACGGAGTTTTGTCTCTGCTAAGCTGAGTACGACGACGGCATCTCTTCCGAAAATGTTAAAAGCGTCCTCTCTCCTTTAGTGAATTCTTCACTCTATAAGCAGGTTAATAATAAAGAAGAGCAGCGTTAGCCTGTGCCAAGTTGATATTTGTGCTTTTTTTTTTTTGAGGTGGGGGAGCTTTAAGAGTTAGTTTTTAGGTGTTAAAAAAACGCGCTTATGTTTCGGTATAGAAACCTTACACAATCCTGTTTCTAGGGTGCCGTATCTCTTGAAAGCCTCCCAAGAGTTATCAGTGCCGCTGGAAGAAGGGAAAATATAATAAAAGTCTTTGACTAAGGTGATCAGCTCTATTTCCCTGCCTCCCTAGAATGCATAAATAGGGGCTTCTCTCTCTCTCTCTCTCTCTCTCTCTCTCTGTCTTTTCCCCTTTGAGAAAGATGGCTGGACCAGACTGATAACAGCTTGTGCCAAAGCGTGTCGGAACGGAGTTTGTACATGTATTTTAAACCTTCGGATCTGCTATTTTATCCTGCTTCTACGGGTTCGGTTTTGGCGTCTTTCCTCTTTTTTTTTAATCTTCTTAGCTCATTTGAGTTATCCGCAATCCGATAGCTGTCTCGCATTTGAAACTAGGCTTTTACAAGCATAATCTTGGATTTTAGCAGGGTGTCAAGAATAAAATAAAATAAAATAAAATAAAATAAAATAAAATCCCCAACGAGACTTGTTTGGAAAAGCTTGCAATCGGGGACTCGTCCGGTCAACTTGGGCAAGGCTGATTACACAACAGAAATAAGTCCTTTTTTCTTCTTCATACGGTCCTCCAAAAACCACACACATTCGACTACGCAGCGTTACAGCTGGGAGCAAATGGCATTTTTTTTTTTCATTTCAAAGTTGCTCTGCTTTTTCCCCTTCTCAACTACTTCAGGTTTTTCGGAAAAGCTGACGCTAGGTCAGGCTCTCTCCATTTAAGTCGATGGATTTGGGTCCATGAGAAAATGAGCTTGGAGTGGTGCCAGCAACAATGCAAATAACCGGGGATATTTGGGAAATGAAGGCTGGCAGGACTTGCGCCTGTGTTTATTCACTTTAAAACAACGGCAACCAGTCGTTCGGAATGGATAAACTTAAATTTAACTATTTCGCCCACTCTCCCAAACCCCCCCCCCACACACACCCTGGAGTAATCCTGGTGTGATGCTCACATTATGTAGGAGAAAGACTGGCAGAGCCAGGTGGAGGAGTGAAAAGGGGGATCAGCCTAGCATCACTACGTAGCCACAAACAAATTAAGTCCGATCTCTCTTAACCGCCATTGACCCTTATTTAACTCTAACCAAGGGCCAAGCATTAGTTGAGAAATTCCTACGCATAATTTTTTTAGTAATAAATCAATTAAACCACATGTGAATCCGGGTCTTTCATGCCTGACCCATTTTCATTTCTTGTTAGTGAACTGTTAGGTTTCCAAATTTTGCACAATATGTGAGGATTCTTGCAAGGCATCCTCACACCGCTACAACAGCTCAGTTAGTGACCGTTTGAAGTTACGACGGCACTGAAAAAAGGGACTTATGACCATTTTTCACACTGAGGGCCGTTGCAGCATCCCCAGGGTCACATGATCCAAGATTCAGACGCTGGACAACTGACTCATATTTATGACGGTCGCAGTGTCCCGGGGTCATGTGATTATTTTTTGTCACCTCAGACAAGCTAAGTCAATGTGGGAAGCCAGATTCACTTAACAATCCTGTTACTAAATGACTGCAGAGATTCGCTTAAGAACATGTGTGTATATATGGGTATATGTATATGTATATGTGTGTGTGTATATATATATATATGTAGGTCTTTGGTTATTCGGGTTTTCTCCCGCGTAAAATTGGAAGTGTCTTGGCGACGTTTCGACGAAGTCCCATTCGTCATCTTCAGGCTGGTGTCTTCAGCTTCGTGCTTCTAGGAGCAATGTGTGATCGCAGCTGTTAAAAGGAAGAAACAGCTGCAATCACACATTACTCCTAGAAGCACGAAGCTGAAAACACCAGCCTGAAGATGACGAATGGGACTTCGTCAAAACGTCGCCAAGACACTTCCAATTTTACGCGGGAGAAAACCCGAATAACCAAAGACCTACATACAAACACCCGTGAAAACCTCAGAAAACAAATATATATATATGTGTGTGTGTGTGTATGTGTGTATATGTATATCTGTGTATGTGTATATATATATATATGTATATATGTGTATATGTGTGTGTGTGTGTGTGTGTGTGTGTGTGTAATTACTATACTAATTACTATAAAAATATGACTCCCAGACATATTTGTGCAATAATGGAAAATCCTCGAACACTGGGAAGGTTATAAATCAGCTGTTTATTGTTAAAAAAGAACTAAAACAATAAAAGCAACTATTTACAATATTAAACAATAAACAGCTGATTTATAACCTTCCCAGAGTTCGAGGATTTTCCATTATTGCACACACACACACACACACACACACACACACAGAGATAGATAGATAGATAGATATAGAGATATAGATATATATATAGAGATAGAGAGATATAGATATATAGATTACAGATATATAGATATAGATATAGAGAGATAGATATAGAGAGAAATCAAAAATAATTTTATGAAAAGTGCAAAACTAATTTCATTGGAAGTTTATTTTGGTAGAACAGGACATTTCTGAATACACCAAAACCCCAAATCCTTACAAAAGATGATCCCCGGTGATTTCCGCAAAGAGCAGAAGCACAAGGTGCCCCACAGGTCCAAGCTCCTCACTGCAGGATTACAAATATAGTTGAAAGTCGTTTCAAATACTTTATTGTTTAACACAAGCATCACATCTCCCAAGCATAGCCCAGCTGCAACAGTTTGTACAATTCAAAACATAATACAGTCCTAAAGATAAAACACATAAAAATATCATCCAATATTTTAAGGATTAAAAAGTCACATTTTTTATCGTTGTAAAAATTACGAAAGCAATGATAAAATACCAGGATGGGTTAAATAGTTCACGAATTTAAAATGACATTTTTGATAAAAAGGTGAGGTGTAAAAGAAACAACAGTTGTCATCAAAAGATTTCTCTCAGGAGAATGAAAACACAACTTCAGTGTTCAAATACATGAATATCACAATATCACAGGTATCTCTTGGTGAAGAGCTGGTGATAAGAACGGATACGAAAAGGATACATAAAAACAGGCAAAAGATAAAATATCTCGTCTACCATAAGCATCACAACTACTTAACGACAGTAAATCAGGAGTAAAACTCAGCTTTATTACAAAAAAATACACGTCAAACAGAATGTTACCAAGTCTGAATCCCATTTAGAGATATTTCAGAAACAAAAAGATAAATGTGTGTGATAGAAGAAATCAAAATTATTGAGGTGACAGCCACATGCTGTGTGTCATGGT